TTATTTATTTTACTATACTTACTTGTTTGCCTGTCCTTGTTTGTCTACCCTCCCTCATATTGTAAAGCGTCTTTGAGTCGTGAAAAGCGCTATATAAATAAAATGCATTATTATTATTATTATTAAGTACCATTATTAATTCTCGAAAGATGTGAAATATACATACAGCTCTGGAAAAAATCAAGAGACCCCTCTTTGGTAGCTCTTTCATTGCAGTGTTTGTTGAATTCCCACACCGAAAAATGTTGTCATTACTTTATAGAACAACATTTTATTTTTATTTTACTCAAACTCGTACCTATAAATAGTAAAAACCAGAGGAACTGATAATGCTCTTGATTTATAAATTCGTCAAAATTACTTATTGAAAACATTTAAATTAATTAAAATAGTGTTACTTTGAGGAATCCTGTCCTATTGTTGTGTATTTAATATGCAGTGTATTGCACTTGTGTTTTCTCAGCACCATGGACAGATACTAATCAGATTAAATCATCGTGTTGGTGTCTGTCGGTCGCCCTCCTGTGGCAGAATACTGTTAAGACAATTAAAACAAAAAGATAAAGTCATACATATTGTTTAAATATTCCTGAAACCACAAGAAAGGTTTGACGCATCTGAAGTAGCTATGATTAGAAAATATATCTAGTGTATATATGTATATCTACTAGCTTTCCTGTAAAAAACAGTTTTACTAAAAAAGCTGTTGCCTATATGCTACACATTGAAACGTTGGACAAAAGATAGCAACAGTGTGTGTGTGTGTGTGTGTGTGTGTGTGTGTGAGTGTGTGCTTGTGTGTCACCGCTGGCGATGGCATAGAGATGCGTCCTCCAGTTGAAGGTGAAGAAGAGTCCTCCAACAGCCATGCAGCCCAGAGCTCCATTAAAGCCCGACAGACCCGAGTAGAGAGACTCATGACGCACGGCCATGGATAACCCTGTCTCACACACACACACACACACACACNTCGCAATGTGGCTGCAATGAGGCTGCACCCTCAGCTCACCTGACGATCTGGGGGCTAAAGTGTTGAGGGAGGTGAGTAGGGTGGAGTTGAGGTGGTTGAGCAGATCGTCAGGTGAGCTGAGGGTGCAGCCTCATTGCAGCCACATTGCGATGGCACTGTCTGTGAAACTAGAGAATTGCATACTAAAACATTCACCTTCATCCTTTTCTTATTTTAAATCTCAACATTGTTCATCCAGTCAAACAAGACAAATGTACCTGAGTTCCTAATTGCAGAATACATACAGTTTACATGTGACGCATGTGTGAATGGTATGTTTTTGCAAGTTGATGTAATTAGACTGAGTCCTCACTTATGGCATTAAGACTCCTCTCAGTAAATCATGACCTCAATGCTCTGCTGCTTATCAATAAGATGCTGAGTCATGCCTTCTAAAGAAAGTAAAGGGTTCTAGCCATTAATAACTACAGAAAGTCAAAACATGTTCTTAAAATAAAAATGATCACATGATTTCCAGCCTGCCCATTGTACCATAAAGGGACTTTGTTCCCATACATATTTCCTCTTCACTGTCATGCTATGCCTTAAAGTCTTTGAGTGATTGTGTCTGTCTCAAATGGTTGGAACTGGTTAATCATTGTATCACCAGAAAGCCTGATTTAATTCGGCTATTTAGACCGGGCTTTCCTGTGCCCCTCTGAATTCATGAATACAGACAAACACATTTACAGCTCATCTCAAATTGCAGCTGGAGCACCGTGGACATTAGTGCTGATGGTTTGGCAGGGAGGTGATCTGCTCACATTAGGTCATTTGCTCTTAATTGGAGCTTTCAGTCTGAATCGACAGGGCCAACCTCTGTACCTGCTGCAGCAGACGTCAGAGAGTGAGACTGCAGATATATTTAGCCTAATTTCTTCTCCTCTGCACGCAGCTTTCCTCTCTGCATATGCTGACATCGCTCTGAGTAATCTTTTGGGAACGGTGAGTACACTCAGTTCCAGCCACGTGTGCATAAAGCACTGACACTGAGAGGCCTTCGATATTTCCTTCTTTTTTTTAAAAGCCTAGGAGAACTTATTTGTAGCCTCACATTGAGCTATAGCATGGTTGCAGAACAATGTCAATTGGTGGGAACTACATATACAAAAGAAGGATGAAAACAGCATTAAACTACAAGTGCTCTTTCTTTCTTGGCTAAAAGGCAATTTGTAATATAATGTATTGCTACATTACTTCAAGAACATTTGAGTTTCTAACCAGTGCTTCAACAAATGATTCATTAAGATGAATAAATTAAACAGCAGTTTTATATAGAATAATTGTAATTGAAGTACACCAAATAATTGATATCATTGTAATATTGTAATTTTAAAACCATGTATCTGAATGTATTTGTTATGCATTTGCCTGATATTAAAATACAAAATTATTTAAGAAGGTCTAAGTGGACGTCTGACTCTAGTATAAACTACAAATACTTTCCCTCTCTCATCCCCTAGGTTGGTCTCCCAGCATGCAGTTGGGCAGCTACTATGATAGCCACACTGATGTTGCTGCTCACCGGCAGTTTATCAACGTACCGCATCCCCATGGGTCAGGTGATGTCCCCTGAATACAACTTGCGCTCCCGCAAACAATGGAAAGCTGGGAAAACCGCAGAAGGGGAGAGCACTGATGTGTAACGTATTGTATCAGTACTTAGTACACGATGGATGTATTTCTGGAAGGGTTGGACCAAATATATGCATTTTTATTATAAATGTTACAAATATATATATTTATACAGTATATATGTTCTTAGAAAACATTGCCATTCATCATAGTAACTTCACAATTTGTCCACAAAGTGGCAGTGTTTGTTCAGCAACTAGGTTCTGAAAATGTTTGATAAATATAAACCTCTGTATTGTATTGAAGTTAAACTATTTTTATAAAATATATACAGTATAACAATTCTTTCCAAGTTTTGCTACTTGTGTTATTCCATTATGCCAGTTTTAACTCACCACATTGCATACAAAGCCAAAGAAACAGCCAATTTGAAGGGAAATAAATATTTTAATAGGCATGAAATTAACAAGTCGGTTCAATAAAATCAATCGTTTTTAAGCGTTAATAAAAACACAGACTGAATTCAACAGTAATTGTTTTTTCACCCCTTCATTACGCTGCATAGACACACATAGAACTCCACTGGGACTCAATGTAGGAATAGACGTAAACATGTATCTGAATGCAGGCAGACGGTGAGACAAGTACACGTGATGTTGTTATGAATCAGAAAGAGTGGTGAGCTGTTTAGGCCAAGAAGAAGCCATTATTATTATCATTATTTTTAATGTTATTAATACATTGAAATCTTCTTAAATGAAAAAGTGAAGGTGTTAATTGTGAGACTTTTCACAGTGCTTCATTTTGCCTGTGTAGATGATTATTTCCCCAAAACATCTACATTCCCAAACACACACAAGTCCCCATCAACACACAAAGCATCCACACCAGCCTAATGTAAACAACAAAACAAAATCATATTTAAAGTTTATTAAAAAGATTCTCAAGTGAAGTGACATACTTCAACAATAACGTTTTCTAAGAATGTTCTTTGAATCATGCATTTCTGTCTCAGTGCTTTTCAGGATTTCTTTATCTACATCATTATTGGGTCTTCATTATTTGATCAAGATCTACCTCACAGACAATGGTGATGTAATGAGACGAAACATACAAAAGTGCCTCTCAGTCTGTGATTGATCAAGCATGATAATATTAATAAATTAAAAAAAGGTAGAAATATAAATACGTGCACAAATAGTACTTGTGTCCTTGAAGCTGCTTTACAAAAAATGAACATTCGTAGTTGTATGTACTTTCAGTTGAAGGTTTGATTGTGAGTGCTTTTGTGCTTCTTTAATATGACTGTGTGTTTGTGTGTGTATGCTTGTGTTCGTTATCGGTCAGAATGAAGGCAGTCTATCACAAACACACACTCACCATGCACAAAGTACACATGTATGCACCAGACACACTCACTAGTGATGCATTCTGAAGTTAGGGAAGTATATGATATATCCAATTAACCTCAGGGTTTATGTGTGTGTGTGTGTTTTATTCACAATCTGAACTTTTCTTGTTGTTTTTCTGATGAATGTGAGCCTGCATGCATTTGCTTTTTGGCTGTAAAAGCTCAATAAACATCTTCATTAATGGCGCCATGTAAAAGCCTGTTATTGTTGATGTCAGTATACACGTAATCTTACGTTACAGCCACACAATGTTGAGTTTTTTCATGCATGTAAACATTCATCTATACTAGTCGAGTGTAAACAACAGTGACGCTGTGCCTGGGTCAGTCTGATAGCAGACTCTATCTAACCAACAGGACAGCAGCTAGGAAACAACATCCTGACTATTAAAGAAAAACGCTATCTCTTATGAACAAAGGGAGCGGAGCACCAGATCCACGGCGGCAGCTTAACTTTGGTTTTACAAGAGGGGAGGAGTCCAAATCATCTTGAAGAAGCAGTTAGAAATGGTAAGAAATACCATCACCTTTCTTGCTGGGAGTTACAAACAGTAACTGGTGTGACCAACTACTGGTGTTCATAAGCTTTTAGACCAGAAAAAAAACACCATCGCAACAAAGAAGATATGTTCAATTGTATTGCTCAGTGCGCTAAACAAAGACATTTATAGCTTTTTTCAAGTTTTCCAACAAATGTTCCTAGTCGATAGGTGATTGTTTAAATCATTCAGACATTCCATGCCCTACAATGTAATGAGTGGTTTCTTAGTCAATGGTACACGCTTCCATTCAATTTCAAGAACATGGAGCCAGTAGTTTTACCGACAAACAAACCAATCACTGAGCCAATATCCTGGAGGAGCTAATGATGTGTGCCACAGAGCTGTAGCTGCTGTGATCTGCTGCTCTGCTCCCAGAGTTCTCACACTTGACTAAGTCTTGTAATCCGTAGCCAGGACGTGGAAGATTAGCAATGCTCTGCTGAAGTTTTAAACTCTAAGCTTATTTTTATAGTTTGTAAATCCTTCAAAAATCTCCATTCATCCCCATTACCGCTGCCACACTGACTCCAAGATTGTCCCTTTTTTTTCTTCTCTTGACTTTGAAATACACACCCTTCCTTCTCTATGCTGTACTAAATGCACTGTGTTGTAACATTGTATTGTGTGTAAGTGCCTCTATGTATCAACTGTATGTCTGCAGATCTCTCTCTCTCTGTGTGTGTGTGTGTGTGTGTGTGTGTGTGTGTGTGTGTGTGTGTGTGTGTGTGTGTGTGTGTGTGTGTGTGTGTGTTCAGAGCAGCCTCCCCAGCACCACCCCCTCTCTGCTCCTGGCCTCTCCCCTGAGGATCTCCAGGAAGCCCAGTTTGGTCAAGAACTCCAGCCTCTGACGGTCCGTCGGCTGCACCTCGCAGAACACACCCTGAGAACCTACACACACACAGAAGGAAGAAGCAGGCAGATACATGAAGGTATTTCTCTACATCTGCACACAAAGACTTAACATAACGTACCCCAAGTGATACATATAAAACATTGTACCAGTAAAGACTGAGAATAAAAAGCATAATTGTCTTTATTGTCTCACTTGAGAGCCTATTCTTATAAGCTATCCGCCTGTCTACAGACCAATGCATGAATCTACCGCTAGAATCCCAAAGAAGAAGAAACCCCAATGTTAGTGATATGATAGAGGAAGGATTATAGGTATTATACGATTAAAAGTCATAATGGGCCACAATCAGAAATGCTCTGGTAGGCAGCGATGCAGTGTATATTTCTGGGACTTTTATCGTGAAAGGGAAAGGGTGACCTGAAGGGGGAGAGAATTGCATTATAGCCAATCTAGCCAATCTAAACACTCAGGTGTCATTATTCTAATCAACATAGAACGTAGAATTTTGAAGTATCAAGTGTAAAAATCTTAGGTAAAGCAAAACTGTTAATTTCTATGATTAAAGCAAACACACACACATAGAATGACTGACCCCCTGTCCTGTCTTACCGTTGGCCTTGAGGGCAGTTAGCATGGCGGTGAGCAGAGTCCGGCTGACGCTGACGTCCACCAGCTCCGGCAGGGCGTCCAGGCGCAGCTGAGAGGGGAAGTGAAAGAGGAGGGACTCGGGGTACTCCCCCTGGTCCTCCTCCATCAGCTGGATCAAGTCCTACACAAGGAGAACAGGAACACAGTTCTCACAATGTGATGCTGATGGCAGTTACTTGTTACTTGTTGGTGCTTGTTTGATGAAGGAGGGTAGTGGCAAGAGTACTTCTATGTGTTTCCAACAGCTGCCACTAGATAGTACTAATTTGCAATATTGAATACGATTTCACCTTTTAAAAAGTAATTTGATGGAAATTATCCCTCAACAACAAAATGATTTATCAGACAACAGTGTATATATCTAAATAAATACAAGCAGTATACTCGCACATAAGCTGATATTTGTTGTGTGCAATCTATCTATTTGTTTATCTCAAAAGTATAAAAGACAGGCCATGCTGATGACCTTCGGACACCTGTGGCTGCAGTATGAATCATATTCATCCAAAGTGTGTCTGTCAGTGTGTGCCGTGACGCACAAAGTGGGCAGATAAGTCTTCCACAGATGTCGGGCTGAGTCACCACCGGCTCTGTTTGGCTCTTTGCCTAAATTACTCAACTGTTTTTCACAGTAAACAACAGCAATGCTGTAATCCAATCTCCTTCCATTTTTTGACAAAGAAACTACTAAAGTGCCCAATTTTCACAATTGTGCACTCTGCAAATAGTCCAAAAGTTAGTGTATATTTAAAAGAAAAAAGATGGATGTAACAACTTGCATGTTTTTATTTAAACAAACATGCTGCTTAGTCCATATTTGACTAAGTGTCTTAAATTAATGACTTAGTATCTCAAAAATATGAATAAGTTGAGTCCTGTTTGTGTGTGTATGTACTGTATTTATGTATTTAGTTTAGTTGACCTGTGTGTGCCATCCTCTTATCAGTGGGATGTTTTCTTACTGAGTGATCATCCACATGGTCTAACTGCAGGTATGTCTAAACATGTGTGTGCATAATGTGACCTGTGTGTGTCTGTAACACTCCTGTGCCCTTCAGACCGACAGAAAATGGTTGAAAAAAGGGTGTTTAAGGAATCTCCTCTTCCAAATATTCACCTGTGGGTTGGGGTGTGTGTTGCCCCCTTTAGTTGGGTATTTGTCCCTCATGGCCGGCATCCAGCTGGCCTGGCACCGCTTGGCAAACATGCGGACATCCAAGATGCCCAACACACAGCCACACACACCCAGCTCATCCTCCAGGATGAAGCAGTACTCCGGGGACAACACCAGGCACGGCCCGAGACATCTGTAGAAACGAAGAGACAGAAACACATGTGAGTATCAAATATGGTCAATCTTAAATTGTGCAAAGCAATACAGACTCTTTCTTTCTCTTCACCACACACCTGTCTCCTATCACATCTGGGTGAAGAGCACTGGACTCTTGGACACCCTGAGTCCTCAGGTGGAGTTGGCGCACCATCCGATACAACTCCAACTACACACACAACAACAAATCACTTAATGTTACATCATTTTGAGAGATGGATGTGGTTCTTGTCCCAGACATATGTGTTGACAATGACCCAACAATCTACAGGTGGTTGAATAATCAGTCTCCTTTCATTTGCAATGATTCTCCATAAAAGGATCCTACTTTGGATCTGATAGAAATTCCATAAATCTTCCATGACTTAGTCAGAGTGTATGCATGAGGTAAAATCTTTTTCCTCCCTGCTTTATTTTTCATTCTTTTTTCAGCTTGGGTTTTGAACAAAATATTCCACGACTTTTTACACCTTTTTTATGAATGATCCTGGCGGTATGTGTGAAACTTCTCCTACCTTGTCCTTGCTGTGATAGGGCCTGATGTTATAGAGACGAGAGGTGGGGAAGAGAGGAGGAGGATGAGTGAAGAGTTCACTGCTGCTGCCTATTGGGAGAAGCATCTACACGAACACAAAGAAAAACACAGATGTTAGGCAGTTATAAGATACTTAAAACATATCGTTTATGATTTAAAACATGAACATGCCTCATGCACAATATAAAAACAAGAGGGTTAATTCAAAAAACATATGGGAAATGAAATATAATACAAGCACACCCTACCTGCACCTCCCCAGACACGCCCCCTTTAAACGCCCATGGTTCTGATTCAACTCCCAGTAGGTCCGCCCCTGGGGTTTTCCCACACACTACCACAGACACAAAATAATAGTCAGGTGACATCACGTGCCAATGAAATAATTATACGCAGAAACATGGCACACTTAACTCAGCTTTAAATATTCATGCCAGCATAAAAATGTAATTATTTTTACAACACTGCATCTCCTCAAGAGATGCTGGAATAAACGTTTTTATTCTCATGCCATTAATATTTGAAGCATAACTGTTTGCTTAGTCATCACTGCACCATTATTTGCTATGGCTGAAAAATAATAATTAAATACGGGGTTGAAAAAAATGATTTATGCATCAAATGCTACCTTTACCTATTTCTTTCAGGCAAAGATGGGTTGGACATAATATATGGCTTAATGGTCATCTACTCTACTCACAGTGAAAGCAGTTCTTCCAGGTGCCCAAGGCGGAGCTGTCACTCAACACTCGCCCATCTGAGGGAGAGAGGTGAGTTGGTGGGGTTAGATTATACAGTAGTATAGTAAAGCATATTCATTATTAAAACAAAAATAGAAGAGCATAAAGCAAAAAACATGTAAAACACATGTTATTAAGTATTCCCATAGTTTCCTGCCTCTTTTGATACTCACCCAGCCAGCATATGAAGGCTTTAGCCACCAGAGCTGTGTTCCTCAGGTCCCACACATAGGGGTAAAGGTCATAGAGCACCGCCCTGTTGGCCCCCCCCACCACGCTGCAGTGAAGCTGTGCTATGTCCTCACACAGGGACAAGACCCTAGAGGACCGACCACGCCACTCATCGATCTGAAGACAAAAATACCTTTATTAATCATACACAATTTAAACGTCAACAGGATATTTGCACAGAACACACACTGACCTTCTGAGGCGCTGTCTTCTTGCTGTTGGCACTGACCAGGTGGCAGTTTGCTTTCAGCCAGCTCAGGTCCTGCAGCAGTTTCTGTCCCGACAGGCCGTACTCGTGGGGCAGGTAATAAAGACCCACCAGCAGCCGCACCTGGGACTCACTCAGGAGGCCCTTCCCACCACCAAGCCCCCACCCCTGGGCCTTTTGCCCCCTGCTTCCCCCTGAGGGGGCTCCAGGCCTGGGTCCTTGGGGTTGGTTTGATCTCTTCTTCTCCCCCTCTGTCTCCACCTTGACCTTAGTGGGTGAGGACGGAGGCGAGCTGGAGTTCAGAGGGAAAACAGGAAGCCTGTCCACGAGGGTAGGGGGGCAGTCGGATCGGTCTGGAGTTTTACAGCGAGGTGTTTGAGCAGAGGAACGCTGGTCTGCTCGGCTGCTCTGCCGACCTGAAATCATTCAGAAAAAAGCAGCGTTTGTGGTTAGAATAATGCAGTTAATTTATTGCAGTTTGGTTCAAATCCAATCAAATGTCAACACACACACACATACACATACTGTATACAGGTACATTCCCATATTATGGTTATCTACCTGCTTGTAGTGGTTGGTTGAGTTCCTCCATCCAATCATGTAGTGCAGCAGACAGCGCTCTATCAGGACAGTATTCACACTCTTCATCTAGAATATAAATAACACTGTGTTATTATATATATGAGGATACTTAGTTAGTTATAAAACACTCTTACATTCCTTTGCACTCTGTGATGTTCAATTCATTTCTGTTGGACATGTTTTGTTGGACAAAGCTCCCCATAAATAGCTCTCCTTTATCTGTTCTTGACAATAGAAGAAGATGCACTTCCTCAGAGAACAGCTTATCTTGTGTTTGCTCGTCTGTTGAAGCTACTGTCAGAAATATATTTTAACTTGAGATCCTTCCAACACTAAAAGATGATTTTCACATTTGTTTGCCAACATGCCCGACTTTTCCTGCTGGAGATACTGCAATGTTACGTCATGTCTCTATTTGGTCACTGATCTGTTGGAAATAAGACATAAAACACAACAATTACGTGTTCAATTTAAACTCTGATCCTAACTCTGAATCTCGATCCCTCAGGCTTCAGCCGGCCCGTCATCTCTTGTTTCATCTCCTCCCTTGAAACCCATTTCTCCTGCAGCCTCCCCCCCCCGCCTGGTTTCTCCTCCACAAAGGGACCGTTCTCTCTTCTTATTTTCTCCTTCGTCACACCAAACAATTGTTCCTCCACCACCACCTTTCTTTGCTTGTCTTCAGAACAAGGACACGCTACAGTAGTTTTCTCTCCTACATTTTTTCCTTCCAACTCACTTTCTCTTTCTTTCTTTGGTGGGATTATTGTGTCAGTTTTGCAGTATATGCTAAGGAATATATCTTTTTTGGGTAAATACAAATGCATCTTAGAGCTATCTATTAACTTTTTTCTGTAAATAGATTCACTTGCTGATAAAAAGCTAATTGAGTCATTGTAACTTTATTAGGCAACAGATGGAGCTTCAATTCCTATAAGTTAATTTACTTGTTACGTAACACCAGGCTAAATTGTTTTAGTTGCTAAGCAATGGGACTAACTGCACATGGCTCAGGTCTGGCAGAGACAATATTAGTTTATTAACTTGAGACATCTCCTGTCTCATCGCTGCCCCTTCCTCCTTCTCATTCATCCTTTTCTGCCCCATCCTTCCCTCCAAACATCCCCTCACCTTTCCTCTCCTCCTTTCCAGACCTGTACCAGCTGCCCAGTGAGTGGAGAGGGATGTAGTTGGCTTCAAACTCGCAGTTGGGGTTGAGAAGCAGGCCTCTCAGGTTGCTCCTCAGCTGAGGCTCTCTGCCCTTAAAAGGCCCCAGGAAGAGACGTCTGGAGTCGTAGTCGTTCGCGTGCAGGTTGTCCCAGATGAGGGGGGGGCGCTGGAGGACAGACTCCACCTCAGACAGGCAGTCTACAGACAGCTTCCTGGAGATGACCTTAGTGCCTAGGGGGCCGGGAGTGAGAGGAAAATGTTTAGAAGTGGAAGACAATCTTATTTTTGATTTGATTTATTTCGAACGTGTAAAACAATAATAAAAACATTATAATAATAATGAAATGAAACAAGAGAATAATGATACTGTACAAACTTAAGCTGTATCAAATTGACCAATGATCTACCTAATTACACATCCGAAAAGGGGTGGGAAGAAGTTAACACTTATTTAATCCCACCCGTTCTCCCAAAAACTAAATTACACTGAACAAAAATATAAACGCAACACTTTTGTTTTTGCTCCCATTTTTCATGAGATGAACTCAAAGATCTAAAACATTTTCTACATACACAAAATAACCTTTTCTCTCAAATATTGTTCACAAATCTGAAAAAATCTGTGATAGTGAGCACTTCTCCTTTGCCGAGATAATCCATCCCACCTCACAGGTGGGGCATATCAAGATGCTGATTAGACAGCATGATTATTGCACAGGTGTGCTTTAAGCTGGCCACAATAAAAGGCCACTCTGAAACGTGCAGTTTTGCTTTATTGGGGGGGTCTGGGGGGTCCGAAAACCAGTCAGTATCTGGTGTGAGGGTTAGGATTAGGGTTAGGGTTAGGGTTAGGGTAATGTTGTGAATCGAGTGGCCTGTGTTCATCGTCCATAACATACGCCTGCCCATACCATAACCCCACCACCACCATGGGCCACTCGATTCACAACATTACCCTNTAACCCTAATCCTAACCCTCACACCAGATACTGACTGGTTTTCGGACCCCCCCAGACCCCCCCAATAAAGCAAAAATGCACGTTTCAGAGTGGCCTTTTATTGTGGCCAACCTAAGGCACACCTGTGCAATAATCATGCTGTCTAATCAGCATCTTGATATGCCACACCTGTGAGGTGGGATGGATTATCTCGGCAAAGGAGAAGTGCTCACTATCACAGATTTTTTCAGATTTGTGAACAATATTTGAGAGAAATGGTTATGTTGTGTATGTAGAAAATGTTTTAGATCTTTGAGTTCATCTCATGAAAAATGGGAGCAAAAACAAAAGTGTTGCGTTTATATTTTTGTTCAGTGTATTAACATTTTCTTTTAACAAAATATACATCTAAATGTATGTCTACATACAATATACATTAACAATTATAAATAGATGATATCATTATTACTACAATATATATATTTTATTATTTTACGTTGTATGTCATATTTGATAAGACAAATATAAAAGACTATCTTCTTCCATCCACCATCCAAAATACATTTGTCATTCAAAAAAAACAACAAAACAAAAACAACAAATAAATAAATAAACAAATACATAAAAGAGGCAATAAAAGATAAAATAACAAACCAAATAAATAAATAAACCGTAAAGACCCAGTTATTATAGATGTATGTTTTGTCTCACCCGTCCATATCACTGTTATGTCCGGCAGCAGGTCCTCTCCCACAGTCTGCAGGTAGGGAGACTTTGATACACTGGGAGAACACAGAGAACCGCAGTACTCTGCAGGGACAGAGAAACAGAGGTAGGATCAGATTTGACAGGTTTCTGTACATACTTTAAACTTGAGCTCACGTGCATCGCTCCTACCTGTGGGGCAGAATAGGAAGACGGGTGGTTCCCCCAGGAAGCGATAGATCTCATTGGTTATAGTGACCTGAGCATGAGCAAAGGAAGAGAAGGCCTCGCTGTCAGCCTGACACAAGGAATGGTCGATGTCATCAAACAGGATGGCAAAAGCCTGGCAACCCAGGTCTGATACCTTCAGAGAGAGGGGGAAAGAAACAGGGTCACATCATATAAAAGTTGCATTTCGTAGAGTAGTATGTATTCTCTGGATTTGTCACATTACATACCTGTCTCAGCTTGCGTTTGAGCAGTGTCAGGTCACAGGAAGAAGAGAAGACGATGTCCTGACCAGGGGAGAGGGCGTAAACAAACGTTACGCCTCTCGACTGGGCCTCCTTTATGAGAATACGCAACTGACCTGAGAGCAGGAGAGGGACAGAGGAGAGAAATCTTGAATTGGACATTTGAGACGAATCAACACACAGTGACCAGAGTTTAAACTTTGCTTTAACTTTGACAACAGGATCTGAGAATAGTAACTAGACCCTCACGCCAAATGTAATGTTTATTATCTGTAAGAGAATTCAGCTTACTCTAAAGTACTACGTTCCACACCAAAGCCTCACAGTCTTCCAGAGTACAATAAGAAAATGATATAATCGGCAACATTAAAGCTGTTAATACCTTTAGGACTTTAATGAAAAATATATCCATAGTGATTCACTACCCTGTTTGCAGAGATAATGTCCTAAGGCAGTTCTGGTGCAGATCCAGGGCTCCAAATATGTGTATTTGTGCATAACTTTTAAAATAGCGTGCAACAAAGAAAATGTGGTGAGAATAAGTGAATGTATCTTCCTCTGCAATTCAGTCAGGTCCAGATCCGAAATCCAACATGGACTGCTGCAAAATGTCATTTTCCAGACGATAGCAGAATGAATGGGATGCTCTTACCCTCCTCCTCGTGAGAGTAGACTTCCCTCCACAGTAGTCTGTGTTTGAGGTCATCCTTTGGGCCGTACAGGTAGGTGTTCAACCCCCAACTCTGCATCCTGGCACAGAAACACAAACAAAGGAAGGAGGAAACATGTTACTGACGGGTGAGCTGTAGCCGTTTCATTGATACATCTGTACTATTGATTGTTGCTTTTCACTTCGACCACTGAAAATGTTTTTTGTTTCATTCACAGTCAGAAGTCCAACATCCTGTCTATGAAATGTTCTCAAGAATTGTGTAGTCATTCTGAAAATGACTTTTAAAATGTTAAAAAAGATTGAACCACTTTGTTTTTGGAATTGTCCTATATATTTGTATCCATAATTTCCTCAGTTTGAAGCCTCTGCTCTGTCATGTACCGTATGATCCCTGGAGACAAGGACAGAAGAAAATAGATCTACTGTATTGATCGTTGGGCTGACTTTGTTACAGGAAATGATCTCCTGAATTATAGATAGAGCATAGTACTGGGATCGAAACAAAAGCTGCATCGCACACACAACAACATGAATATTTCTCTGGACCAGCTCCCATCATCCCTGTCATTGGTGGGTGGAATATGTTCTCACTCCTCCCCACTTCATTTCCTGGACAGATGGTCGGTAAGTCGCCTCCACAAAGCTGCAACCTACCTCCTTCAAACACACAATCACACACATGCATACACACACTTCCATACTGTACACCCAGGCCCAGCTTTAATCTGCCAAACTTATGCAACACTCTCTGTTTGAATTGTGCCTGCACCCCGCACTTAAATCTAAAAAGAGCCGATCTATAAATAAACTTGGAGCCCACACAGAAAGAAAGAAAGTCAAATTCATCCTGATGACAAAGCCAATATAATGTTATATTTTTGTTACAGTATTATTCAGTTTATCATAACAACAACAAAAGAGTGTGCTGTAATGATTTGGTTTGCAGAGGGAACATCTTATCTCTGGGGATGTAGTCCGCTGTCACTATTGGTTGTTGAACTACAGTTCCCAGCAGGGATTTATGTTGTTAAACTAGTTTTTCAGATCAGTGTGGCATCAACAATTCATTGGTTCCCTACTTCACAAGTATGCACGAGAGTACTTTATGTAAATGCAAATGCAATGGGAATACCACGGCTCTTGTTGGAATGCAATTAGCATTTTCATAAACAATTCATCCAAAAGTATTTCCTACAGTAGATTTTTGTAATAAATGTTTTGTCTATACAATGTTGAGACTTGTCCATCCCAGTGTATTTGTTTGAATAGTTCCAAGTCTTTAAAAAATCAGTAGACCTACATTAAATAAATGCGGCATTTAAACTGAATTTTTTGACAATTTTGCAAGACAACTCTTTAACAATGAATCAATTATTAAAATACTTAGCGATTAATTTTCTGTCTATATTGACAAATCTATTAGTTAACCAATTGTTGCAGCTATACATCCTTCATCAGTCCATAAGTCCATATTTAACACACTCCCATTATCAGTGTGTTCTACTTGACTTTGAATGGTGTACTGATGCCTTGAATAGCAATTTGATTGTTTTGAGTGTAGTATTCTACAGCAGCTCACTGTTGAATCACTGCAAGCTGATTACTGCTGAAAGAGTGTGTGAGTCTTTGTGACTTGATGAAACTGTGGCGGTCTCAATAAGGAGCTGCCTGTGTTTTGTTCAGTCACGATTCAAAGTGACAAATGTTGCGTGGATGCTGTTTGTATCTGTTTTAAATTGCTTTTGTTTGTAATTTCTATGTTGTTCTGCAGAGGAGAGCCTATTGTGGCACTTCACTGGTATCACTCCACACAAACAGGGTGCTTGGGCTGAGCGGCTCCCTGGTGTGAAGGTCTCTGCACGGAACAATATGTGGTTGCTAAATATAGAGCCAAAGGCACCACAAATATTCCCTGCAGTAAAGGACATAAACATTCTATATTAGTATTATATCTTTCCAATCTATGACAATATGCTGGAAAACTATTTTCTAACCATTCATTCATCCTTCTTTACATGGTCTTAACTAAGAGTTTCCTTAGCAGTCAATCGGTAGGTTTTATTGTTAGACCCATGCTCATCAAAACTTTAACACTATTTAACTCTAACATTATGGATGAATTTGTCAAATTTGCTGTACTATATAGAATTTTGCCCGATAAATGATATAAACCTTTAGACATGAGGCAGTGTTAAAGGATCACCAACGAGATTCCTCTTGAGGGGAACATGAATGTGTGAGAATGTATCACAAATGCTAACATGTTGTCATCACCAGAGGAAAGGCCAGGGGAACATAAATGTCTTTAGGAGTCATCATCAGGGAGTGTCTATTATGTAATTGAAGTCCATTCAGTAGTTGAGATATTTCAGTTTGAATCAAAGTGGTGGATGGACTGACTGCCGTCCCTGCAGCCACACTGCTAGCTCAGCTGAATAATATCTATATAACCAAATGATCTGCATCCCCTCTTTGATCCTCTTCCAACAAAACAAACAGCAGTGTGCCCCCCCCCTCTCCCCCTCCTGTCACCCATGGCCTGACGATGAGTCTGCCCTTTGCCACAGAGTCATTCTGCGTCAGTGGTTTCTCTCAGGTCTGCCTGGCATGATGTAGAGGCGTGCAACTGGATTCCGCCCACAGGCGTCAGGTCAGTAGCACCTGAGCTCACACTATTCATGTGAAGATCAAACAACTCCCCTCTGACGTGGTGAATAACTAACTGTGATTCTGAGTAATACAGAACATGCAGGTTCATTACAGTTGACATTCTGCTTTAATGAGACTCACCATTGGAAGAGAACCTTCCTCTGATCCATAGTCCAAGGCCTCCCATAGAAACCTAGAGAAAAAATAGAGGTCATGAATGTCAATATATATTTGCTGCAAGAATTAAAAAGCAAGCTCAGCTAAACATCTAAAACACATGTCTTTCCTCTTACCAATCCATGTAGACCATTTTGGTGTGAATGTAAGAGATATGGGGATGGAGCTAGATTCTACTTTGCTTATGAGAACAAAAAAACACATTTGAAAACTCAATAGCAATCGCTCATGACCGGGTTACTCAAGATCTTGTTGTGAGCAGTTTCATATTTTGTTCCAAGTTCTTTGCAATGACACACACTGAGCAGTTATCAGCTGGTCGACACCGCTTCAGTCCTGAATGTATGGAACATATACCAAGTAAGTTCCTCCAGTGCTTTCTTTGGTCACATCCTCTCTGTGTTTGGCAGAGGCATAATTCATCACCAGCTACACTCTCCATCACATTTTCTATTTTTAGAAATGGGAGCGTCTCCAGTGTCCCTCTCCCAGCGTTGTGTTTTTTATAAGACTGCATGTATTTAACTGTGCACAGAAAGTGGGTCATAGTAGGAAATAAATCCTATCCACCGACATGTCTCCTGTGTCCTGCAGACTGCTCCCCATTAATACAAAAAGCCAGCAGACCTGATAATTAACTCTGTTGGATGCCACCACGAGGGACTGAGAAACAAAGGTGTGCAGGACTACAGGAATAAGTAATAAGGTGTGTGTGTTTCCTCGAGCGTGTCCTTGATCAATGCAATTTGAATTTCCAAATAAACAAATCCCAGCAGGCTGTGTGAAACTGGATTAGCAGAGATTGGTAGAATTAGCAATTTGAGTCTTTGGGGAGTTGTGTGAATAAAACATATAATCATCAATAATTGTTTAAGTCATGTTAAACAAACAACAATGCCAACAATTGCTGGTTTCACCTTCTTGAACTTAGTATGGTATCATTACACACCTATAAATAGTAAGACATTTTAACCTTGAGTATACTTTAATAAATGTGCATTCTTATGACGACTCATAAATGACAAAGAGAAATCATGAACAGATAAGTATCACAAATGTATCACCTTTTCAGGATTCTGGATAACTATCATTTAGATGTTTTAGCCAAAAAGCAATGTTCATGTTTTACTTTCAGGGTATATACTTACAGCATGTCATTAGATACATTTTTGCAGCATAAATTCATCATTTTGTGCAGTGGTTGTGAGGTAAGAAGGGACAGGTGTTACAACAAACATCCGTCTCTTTTGCAATAATCATTCATTTCTTACTTTCCAGATCAATTTTTATTAATGTTATTAACATCAACAAGGTCAGTGTTGTTGTTATTCCTTCCTTAACATTATTATGTCCATATATTCGCATTTGTTTGATTGATGCTCTGAAATGGACCTCTTCTTCATTGTTTTCTTTCATTGTCTCACTGTCAGCTTGTGGCACACCATCTCCATCATCACAACTAAAGTCATTTCATCCCAACAAAATCATCCCAGTCATTATTATAATCTCAATGATCATCTTCACCTTCACTAGTATTGCATCATTCATCTTCATTAACACCTGCCATTAATCCAGAGTGATTTCTCTCCTCAGGCTGCAGCCCAGGAACCAGACATTACTGAATCCTTTTCCCTCCGCCTGCTCTTTGATCTCCACTTCGCGCCTGGCTGATCTCCACCACATCATCTCATAACGACCATTACATCCACATATTATTACAACTGCGCCCCCTTCTCCTTCAGTAAGGGACAAAACAATCCTAAAATGTAGGTCAAACGGTGGTCTATTCAAATGCATGTCCCCAAGGTAATAAAACAGAATCACATGATCTGACAGGTCAGTGATGAAGTCGGCCGCTCCTACCTTCCACCACCCCACAAAGAAACTGCTTCTTCTCCTCCATGCTGCCCTCCGCCTCGCTGCCTCCCTCCGCTTCCAGTCGGCCCCTAAAGAGCGAGGGAGGACGAGATGCTCTCCCCCTCTGTGAGCTTAGATATCGGGGATATACTTCATGCTTCTCCTTGATATGCCTCCCTCTCTCCCCTCTCCTCTCCTCCTCTCTACAACGCTGGTGTTCGCGTGCTGCGTTCAGGTGCTCAGTGGAAGATCCTGCTTTCTAGTACATGACAAAAGCAACCTTTTGCAAACAAATCGTTTTTGGTGCATGTATGTATTTAGTAGAATTATAATAGACTATCATACGTTATGCTGAGGAGGCATATGGTTTAAATGTATTTATTGATTGTTGATGTATTGTTAAACATTACATTATTACATTGTTGTGAATATTACATTATATTTATTTATTTTATATATAAGAAGTCCCTTTCTTATTAATTAATTACACCTTTACTTTTCAATTAGCCAGCTGAACACAAAAAAAACAAGACAAAACCAAACCCGCAGCCTACATGGTCAAAGTAAATTATAAACACGTCCAGCACAGCAACATTAGCCTCCTGTTGAACATGTTTTTCTCGCTACCTGACCAAATGTAAGTCTACTTTTCAACTTGCTCTTCACGAACTCTGAAAACACGTTCCTGGTTCCTACTAAGCATACGCTAGCTAACGCTTGGTAGCTTAGGTGCTAAATGTCTATTAGCTACAGAATGGTTCAAGTAGTGTGGCTACTGTCTAGGTTACGTAAACCATTAGACATTTAATTTCGTTAATTATTTTTCACAATACAACATTAGTAAATTATATAGTTAAAGGTTACATATTTGTAACATATTTAAAAATGGCATTCAAAATAAAAAGGGGAAAATAGGCTGTCAACATACATTTGACAGATAAACCCCACATGGTATTCCCTAACACGTTCAACATACATCCAATTAGTTTCAAACATACAGAAACTAAATATTTATGAAATACATTTGTTTAGCTCTGGTTGGGGTCTCTGACCAAAGTTTTTTTCAACAAACTAACGCTACTTCTTGTTCCAATTTCTTCACTGTTACAGCTGTTTTTCCACCAAAACTTTATAAAACATCTGACCTTCTTACTTGTATGTAGGATACCATTTGTTTCTGTGTTTTCTTTCGTAATTCAGATTTTTCGAGTAGCCATGAAGGCAGCATTTGCTTCCAGTCTCCAGTCCGCACATGCGCAGTGCCTTCCTGTAAGAGGACCCAGGTGTGTGTGTTCACCATTCATGCTGTGAAAGTGTGGAAGTTAATGTATAATCCCACTCCATGGGCATTTTTTAGAGCCTTGTTTTTATATATTTGAATAAATAATACTTTCTGTCCTTTGCATGATTATATTTTAAGTAACACTTTGTACACACTGCAGCACAATTACAATAGAACAGATGTGTTTGTTTAGTGAATTTTTTAGGCATGTTCTACATATACATAACACTCTAACATTTGTTACAGTCTTGAATAGTGTGCTTTATACATTATTTTCACAATTAAAGTCCACCAATCTCTCAATTTTAGATGTGAGTTTATAAATATTGCATTTGTTTCTTCCTGATAATCTTGTGAATTGAGAATTATTAGGCTGCTGTATAAATCTGATATGGAGCACCCACTGCTGGAATTAAAGAACATTACAGTAGAAGGTCCTGGTCGTCATGGGTCAGTTCCTCACCACAGAGAAGTGCTTCAGCAACCAAACAAACGGGGTTAGTACAACCAGAGGCAGCATCAAATAAATTCGGACATCTTTACAACTTCACCTCCTTCACTGCATGTATAGCTGTCTCAGAAGTAGAGATTCATCCCAAAACAAACCAACTTTAGTCAGCATCTTCACTGCAATAGTAACTTTATCCCTGCTGAGACATTTGTTTTAGCTTTTGGAAAGTTTTTGACATTACATTTGTGTGATAGTGTGTGGGAATAGACATAGTATGTTTCAGTCATTTTGACAGCCTCAGAATGAGCTCTATTTAATTACCTCCTTTGTTGTTGCTCTGTTCAAGAGAAATACACCACTATTATGTTATACAAAGCAGAGAGATTCTACACAATGCCAACCCAACAAGGCTTTGCTCTGCCTACCCTGGAACAACATGGTGGTTGAAAAGCTGTGGAGGGAGAGTTTCCCAGAGGGAGTGGTAACAGAAACTGGGAGGACTTTGGCTTCACTGCAGTGCCAGTGTTTGCCTTCACTACCTCAGAGGTCATGTTTCACATTCAACAACGAGGTAAGTCCCTGACAAAATCACAGATGGGCATGCGTTAGTATTTTGATTAAACAAATACAATAGATTCAATCATGTTGTTGTCTTGTGCCAGGCAGGTTAAATGGAATATTAGAGGAACTAATGTGATGAATGTTTGGATGTTAATTCATGTTTTAAATCAATGTTTTAGCCTTTACAGTGATTTCCCGAGTGCGAGTGAGTCATGTGACCGTGCAGCTGGACTTTGGATAGAGGCAACCTTTAATAGTTTAAAGTTAATGATAAGTGTAGCTAGCTGCAATAAAAGTACTTAAGGTCTGCAATAAACACAACTAAGAAAACAGGAACTGAGTCTGTGGCTTGTTTTGTAAATGTCTCTGTGTTTGTCAATGCTAGCAATTTCCCCTGTAAGTTAGAAGGTCAATTATTAATGTATTACTTGTTAATGAGTGAACACCAATCTTCTTTTTTCCCTCTGAGGTCATGGCCACTCCCAGCGTTCTCCTGTCAGAGGTGCAGTTCCAGTGTTGGATCTGTCAGGATGTATTCTCTGATCCCGTCTCCATCCCCTGCGGCCACAGCTTCTGCTTCACCTGCATCACATCGCACTGGGACCGCAGCCCTGCAGTCAGCTGTCCCAAATGTCAGGCAGTCTTTGAGCGCCGCCCAGAGATCTGCGAAAACTCCTTCGCCAAGGAGATGTCCGAGCAGATCCGAGCCAGAAGGCAGAATGGCGTGATGACACTGATAGAGAAATTCATATGTTGTGATGTGTGTGTGGGAAAGCAAACAAAGGCCATGAAGTCCTGCCTGGTGTGTCTGACCTCGTATTGTGAGAGTCACCTGGAGCCTCACCGGAGAGTTTCCACCTTGAAGACTCACAAGCTGATTGAACCCGTGGCAACGCTGGAGAACCGGATGTGTAAGAAGCACCAGAGGCTCCTGGAGCTGTTCTGCAGAAGCGATCAGAGGTGTGTGTGCGTCCTCTGCACCGAGACGGATCACCGCTGTCACGACACCGTCCCAGTGGAGCGGGAGAGTCAGGGGAAGAAGGTGAGGTCCTCATCATTGTGCTATCCCATCAAATACCACAGCAGCCTTCAGTTTTGGGTTATGTTCCTCTTTGTTCAGGCTCAGATGAGAAGCATCGAAGCTGATGTTCAGCAGAAGATCCAGGAGAGAGTGCAGAAAGTGGAGGAGATCAAACACTCTGTGGAGCTGAGCAAAGTAAGTTCACATAAGAGCATAAAACTGCCTTTTTGGATGTGTCCTGTAGGAAAGATGGGCCATTTTAGCAGCAATTAAAACACTTTAAGAATATATGCAAACACAAAATATGTCCTTTTACTAGGACATTAATTACTAAATAAAAACACAGAGCCCAAAGTGCTTCCAACAGCGAGATTAAACAAGAGGACAAATAATACCAGACAATAATAGGAACAAATTAGCAAGACTAGAAATAACAACAATAAAAAGCTGATAAACATTGATTAACATATATCAAAGACTCAAACATTATTCCAAATTAAAAGCCCAATAAAAAATGCATGTCACCATTCTGAGTTCCATAGGAGAACAAATGTTAAAGAGGGCTCTATACATTTTCCTCTTTTAATGACTTAATATCTTCAGGAAAACTTGAGGAGGGACATTCTGTTGAGCATGGAGGTTTACTCCACCCTGCTCCGTTCTCTGGAGCGTGGTCAGGAGGAGCTGCTGGAGACGCTCCAGAGGAAGCAGGCAGCGGCGGAGCAGAGGGCAGAGAGGCTCCTCACAGAGCTGCAGATGGAGATCACACAGCTGGAGAGGAAGAGGAGCGAGGTGGAGCAGATTTCTCACAGTGAGGACCACCTACACATCCTGCAGGTTAGGAGTTACACCGGGAGATATCCACAGTAAAAAAAAAAATGCTAGTTTGTAGAATGTTGTTCTTCTCTCTTTATTCCCATTCTCTCTTATTTGATTTCATTGTGACAGAGGTTTCCAGCTCTGAGTTCGCCTACGTCTTTTAAAGCCTGCTCTGACATCGTTGTCCATTCACACACATGTTTGGGGACTGTGAGGAGAGCGGCGGCTGACATTGAACTGCAGCTTCAGTCCGCTCTGAAAAAGCTTTCCTTTCAAGGTATACTTTTTAAATAACAATTTGTTGTCAGCATCACAACATTATGCAAATTAACAGCCACTTACATTTAATCTCATGATCACAGATTTGTTGTATAAACAATATTTATATGTTGTTTTTAACTTACAGAGCATGAGAAGATGCAGCAGTATGCAGGTACAGTTGGACCGTAAAACAATGTCTTCACTGTTCTCACTCCCTCTTTTGTCCTGTTTCTCAACCGTCAAACTATCATGGACATTCAAGCACTCCTTACATTCTGTATCAATGAGAATAATGTCAAAATCCCACAGAAAAGGACAGTCAATCTTGAGGAATTTAAGATTTTCACTGGATTCATTTATTCATTATTTCTACAATTCCAATCACAAGTTCCCAGAGGTCAAGGTGACATCTCATGTTGCTTATTTTGTCCTACAGTTTCTGATTTGTTTTGGTAATCATTTGCCTGATACACAACTAAAGCTAGTTAATTTCCCCACAATCAACTACTTTCTCATTGACTAATTTATTCTGCTTTAATTGGGTTTATTTCCATGACCAATACAACTCTAAATCCTCTGTGAAAATGTGTCAAACGGTCCTGCGCATCATGAAAATGCATGCCATATGATAAGGGGGAAGTAAAAACTCCATATTAACAAACTCTGTCTGTCTCCTAGTTGATGTTCTTCTGGATCCCAGGACAGCCAACCCGTGGCTGCTTCTGTCAAAGGACGGGAGACAGATCTGGGATGGAGATGTTGAACAGAACCTGGAGGACACACCGGAGCGTTTCGACACGGCGCCATGTGTCCTCGCCGCCAGGGTAAATAAAGATTTGTGTGTTGTGTAGGGATGTTTCTGCTTCATTCTGAACAGTCCTGGTGACCCGAGCGCCTGTTTCTATGCAGGGTTTCTCCACAGGGAGGCACTACTGGGAGGTAGAAGTGGGGGACAAGACAGCGTGGGACTTGGGGGTGGCCCGACAGTCGGTCAGCAGGAAGGGGCTGGTCACCCTGAGCCCAGAGGACGGGTACTGGACCATCTGTCTGAGGAAGGGCAGTGAGTACCGGGCGTGTGCGGGACAGGCGGAGCTGCTGAGTCTCTCCCAGAGGCCGCAGGTGGTGGGGGTGTTTCTGGATCACGAGGAGGGGACTGTGTCCTTCTATGATGCAGAGGCCAAGTCACACATCTATTCCTTCACACAGTTCCAGTTCACAGAGGCCATGTTTCCCTTTTTGAACCCTGACATGTGTGACAGCGGCAGCAACAAATCTCCACTCACCATCCGCCCTGTCCATGCATTCAATGGAGCGGGGGAATTAGATGTCATGACAATATGATGTGAATGTGTGTTCAGTGTTTATATGGTATTTTATTTAAGCAGCCCTATTTGACTAAGCTTCCCCTCTGTAGGATAATTATGATGTTGTAATTTTGCTTTTATTGTAGCGTAACGAGTAGTCCATCATTTGGAACATATCTTCCAAACTTTATTCGTTTTCATCTTGATGTATGCCTAGAAACTACTTGTCCCTAAAGGATAAACGAAGCAATTTTTTTTAATTAAAATTGAGTTTATAAAATGTCTTTAATGTATTTAGATTTCAAAACTTGACAGAGCACTTTTCCCCAAAAATATGATACATTTACAGGTGGGGATTTGAGATGTAGGCGGATGGCATTGTACTGAAAAAAAGACATGGGCTTTATGTTAATTCAAACGAACATGATAAAAAGTTTTTTATTTGTATTTAATTTTTTTATTTCTACCTATTTAAACATTTAAAAATCTATTTGTGGTTTGTGAAATTGTGTAAATTGTACACCAATCTTGTTGGGGACACCATAAACTGCATATTTATACCACTCCTCCTCCCTTTTCTTTTCCCTTTGCTCGATTAAAAAGTAACACACACACACAGATCTTAGATCTGCCTCACTACAATAATAACCTTCCTCAGTTAATTAGGGCTGACCACAAACTGACTTCAGACCACGTTTAAGAAAGACAGTTGCTAATCAGATTAGCACAGAGATGGGATTAGCCTGGAGGCAGATGGAGCGCTGAGGCACACTTCAGCCTTGAGTTGCGTGGAGGTATTATACACGTTTAGAGTACTGTACACTCTCAGGTATGTCACTGAACTAAATGCATGCACACACAGTGATTGTAAATTCTTAGTCTAAACCTTGTGAATTCCTGAAAGAATGTAGAAGTAAGGAAATCTGTATATCTGTGAAGAAAGAGCTCAACGGGGGTTGGGGAAGGAGGAAGGGATGAAGATGGATTAAAACTCAAATCATTCAAGCACAGGGCGGAGACATGTAGAGAGCCTACGCAAACACCAGAGTAAAGCAGGAACACTACACGTTTCTTTACCAGATGTAAAACCTCTTTGATGACCAGCAGACGAGGGTAAGTACAATATGTTGTTGTTATAGTTTTTAATGTTGATGTCTGGAGGAGGGAATACAAACTACCTGTAAGATCTCAATGTGGAGCAATGCAGACCTTTAAACAGCAAATGCATGAAGGAATCGCTTCATTTGGCTTTTAACTTCATTAAAAGTGATGCTATTACTGTTGGCGATGAAGTCCTCTCTGGGGAGACCTTCTCTTCCTACCTTTTTCCATTAACTGGGTTAAAACTATATCTCTGTTTGTGTGTATCGTAAAGCTCTTGCCTGGATCTTGTCTAGCCCCACTGTGCTAGGTAAACAAGGGAATAATGGTTTTAAAGCTCTAAAGGCACTACCTTGAATTACACTTTAGGTTTCTCTGTTTTGCTGCCGTTACAACCCTATATATATACTGTATATATAAAACATATATATATATATATATATATATATATATATATTAATCAACCCCAGTTTGTTAATTCA